ATTATGAACAGAAGTAGCGCCATAATGAAGAAGAATTGAACTCGTATAACTTTTTAGTCATCATTATCATTCCACATAAGATTTGTAATCTTCACAACTGTACATACATTGTTTAGAGTATTCATCATTACTTTTACTGCGTAATTAATATGGTACCGTCATACGGATTTGAGGTGGAAATATATATTTATTTTTTGCAAGTTTCGGGATGTATTAGGCAGAACATATAAAGAACGTACATACTACGTACGTACTATTTATTATACTTGCTACTATTATATAGTAATTTGAATTGCACACTTATTAATAATATTTGACGACCTGGGTTATATCTGTAGCGACTGAATGAGGCGGTCTTCCCAGTAGGATCAATTTGTGAAACGTTTATAATTTAACCGTTAAACGTTATATTTTATTATTAAATTGGTTTTAATCTGGGTGTTGCTTTGGTATTCATTGTACAGTGTGTGCCCTAGTTTGACGCCTTGGTACTTAGTGCAGTGGTACACGATTGTTATTATAATTTTCGTCTGAGGTCAATTAAACAGTTTGCTTTCGATTCACATTAGAGTCAAAGTCAAGACGCGCTCATCGACGTTTTATTTATACAATAAAGCGTTATTAGAATAGGATACCTGCACTGTCAATGCGAAGGGATATTATATGGATATTATATTATGGGATATAATAGAACAACAACTCTAGCCATATTGTACAGACTTAACTTATGAATATACAAAAATCGAAACAATGTAGCTAATAAGAATTTCAATGTAGTTTTGTGAAGTTGAAAAATATCAATAGATCTTTTAAATCCATAGAACTATATTAGAATGGTAGTCTAATAGTTTTACCTACTGTCTCTCAAGCAGAAGCTGTGGGTTCGAATTTGAATTGAAATGAAAAATTCGGTGAAGGAAAACATCGTAATGAAACCTGTACGTCGAAGAAGATTCACAAAATCACAACCCTCGGAAAACGTGTGCAGTCCCCAACCGGCACAAACCCTCGCCTGAGAAGAGACCCGTGCCCAGCAGTAGGTACATATAAAATATAAATATTACACAGCATCACATACCCTAAAGTTAATTTCTACATTAAAAGTTAGTTTCTACATTGACCCGGCTGGGGATCGAACCTGGGAACTCAGAGATGGCGACACCATGAAAACCGGTGTGTAAGCCACTCGACCACAGAGGCCGTTAAAATAGGATGTTGATGATGACTTATGGTTTCCTAAAACTTCCCTTTTTCTTTTTTAATTTTATAAACGTTCATTTTTATTTTTAAATAGGATATTTAAGTCTTAAGCTAAAGAATGTTAGGGTGCGTTCCCACTATGTCGTGACAGTGACAGATTGTCGTGCAGTTTACAGTGTCGTGGCTTGTATATTTAAATGAAGTTGTTCACGTATAGCCCGACACGATTAATTGTCGTTCACGATTTTTTAACGTTACAATGACAAACTGTCGTCACAGTGGGAACAGCTAGAACGACAGTCGTCAGACGACAAAAAAAGTCACGATAAAAACGTGACGACAGGTTGTCGCAGCTCCTATTGTCGTCATGTTTTATTTTATACGTCATGTTATATTTTCTTTTCTTTGTTGGATTCCTCTTCTGCATTTTTAAAAAGTAATACTTTGTTAAAATTACGTCTTCATCCATTTCGAATGAACACACACTACCTGCATCATCAAACGATTCTGAGACTGCAGTATATCAAACGATTCTGTCGTGCAAACGATAAGGAGGCTGTCGTGGAACGATAAATTGTCGTCACGATCTAGTGAGAACAGCTAGTCGCGACAGTCGTTCAACGATAAAAAATCGTCCACGACAGATAGTCGTGATATGGGAACAGGCTAGACACGACAGTCGTCCAACGATAATAAAACGTGACGACATAGTGGGAACGCGCCCTTATACGAGTAGTACTAAATTAATATTAAGTATTGGATATTGTTTGCGAACTGTTATGTACCTAAATAAATGAAATAAAATAAAAAAGATGATGATATTAGAATGGCACAAACATGAAGTGTAAAACTAACCCGTACCCTAAACGTACCCGCGCCAGGCGAATGATATCCCGCAGGCTTGGATATTATGTCTCTACGGCTAAGTTTATAACTTATCGACCTTTTAACATATAGCAGAAACACTGAGATGCCACTGAATTATCTTTTTTTGATAAAATATGCCTTTCGCTTACACACAGCTGGGTGGTTCTATTTACTAAACACAAATAACAACTTTACTTTTCATTTCTGCTCTCTCTCTCTCTTTAATCTATCGATGTCCTACTGCCACGGTACAATGTGCAATATCGGTACCTACGTGTGTATAGAGATCGGTGCGTGTGAGCGGCAGATAGGGGAGTGCGGATTGATCGCGATGCCGCTAAATCAAGATTTCCGCGGCACATCCGCGCGGGCCCCCGCTCCCACGTGCGTGTGCGCACCCCGCTTGGTTTGATACACCGCTAGATACAATCGGCTTATTTTTACAACCAAACACTGTAAATATTGACAGCCATCTTCACAAAGTCACAAATTCATTTAAGGGGAGAGTCGGTATTCAAAGTTTGCCATTTATGAGGTTTAAAATTGTACACTAAAGGTTTCTGCGTAATTGTTGGACGAAAATCCATTATAGAAAGACAGAAAAGTAGTTTATTTTGTAACCTTGTGACAAAACATGTATGACAGAGTGATAATAAAAAACAAAATAACCTTAGGATAAAATACAAAATAAAAGAATTACAAAAGTTACCAAAATGGTCTCCACTCAGCTTTTTGTAACAAGACGTGAGAAAACACCTCGTCACGCTGACGTTACAGTGACCCGTTTTAGATTTTTCAGGTTGTTTCTACTTAAAACATTTGAAACAATTATTGTAAATATTGTAAATGAGATGACGAGTTCCGTTTTTATATTGTTTTTTTTGTTACTTTATGTTTTTTAACAAAATTAATTTTTTTGTTCCTTTTTCGAATTTTATTTTTGTTTCTTTATTTTTGTCACAAAATTCGATGAGCATAATATATTACTCAATAAAATGTGTGTTAACAAAAATAACAGAAAATTATCAAAAAATAAAGTTGACGTAGTCATTGTTCATTGGAGGTATCGAAATATGAAGTGATGTCTATTTAGAAAGAGCAACCCCTAGAGCTACTTAAAAACCTACGCAACTACGACACCATTTCGCTTTAAGCTCTTTTATTGTTTGGCTATTTATCAGGGTTCGAGAAAGTACAAGTGTCGATATTATTAGACATAGCACACCTATACACGTGTCTAATGATACTGCGATTGTCCGATGCGCTTGCCAAACGTCACGTCGATATAATTACACGTAATCAACACATATTATTATATCATTATAAGTCTATTTAGTTGTGCTACAGTTGTGTGGATTATTGTGTAAAGAATACACGTTTTGCATCTTTTTAGGCGACTTGAAAAAAAAAATTATATTATTATGCTTGTGTGTGTGTATGTCACGCGTTTACTCCGACATTTGTGAACTGGTTTCAATTACTTGGTACTTGGTGCAACGGGCTGCTATTGATTTCAATTATTCTTTTTTGTTGAAAAAGGGGTACCTCAGTAATGGTCCCGTTTTGAAGAAAATATCCCACCTCAAAGGTTGGCAAATTAGTGGATGCATCCGGTTAATTGAACTTCACCCACTTTCCGTTAACCGATTTGAATAAAACTTGGCAAATAAATGTAACAAATACAGCGAAAGCGGGTAAGCAAACTTTTGAATGCGGTTTTTTTTATATAAAATTTGTAATTTTTGACTTAATATTTGAGGTTATTTTGTAATTGCTATAGTAAAACCAATGTTATAGAAGTTGGTGATCGCAACCTACGATATTTTTTTTATTATATTAGTATTTCACGTTACAATTAGACCGCTTGAAGCATGTTTTAGTTATATTAGTGCAAAAGGAAAATGAATGGGATTGATTGAACGCAATATTTAACAACAATAGATGGCAAAATTAAATATGAATCAAGTTATTTATTTATTTATTTTGTACAACTGACAACCAAACATGTAAGTACTTATAACTAAACATGTAAGACTTTATCGAGATTTTTTGTGACAAATCTCCACTAGTTTTGTTATGATATGATTACGAATACCAAGATCGAACACACATTATTCAAAAATCTCTCACTAGATGTTACTAGCGGGAACGAATGCCGAAAACTCAATACAAATATCTATAAGAAAAACACATAGGAGAATTTCGACGATTTGGTAACTGAACCCATGGCTCAGGTGGTTAGAGCAATGCTACGGCGCAGCATGGACGCGGGCTCACGTCCCACCGGGTCAACGAGAAAATTTTCTGTGTGTCCGATACTTGTATTGATAATCACCTAAGCTTTATTAATATAAACGTTGAGTCGATCACCGGCCAAAAGTAGTCTGCCGAATTGTGACGGAATTGCCGATTTTATGTAGGCATTAGTAGCAATTGATTATAATTTGATATTAAATATTAATTTTACGGCAAGAATTAAATGCTTTTTTTTGTAAACCTAAAGGACAAGAATTTCGAGATATTGTAAGAATTACATAAACATAAATAAAACAAGCAATTTTGTTTTAATTTACTATTTATCATCTACTGGTAGAATATTATAAAAATTTTCCTCAAAGATTCCCTTTTAATAATATTGCCCGAATTCTCTATACCATACCATGCATACTATACATATAGGGTAGTTTATAACCTCTACAACTATATAAACCTCTATCTATAACCTTCCAAAGTTTGTGCCATCCACCACGATTGTGCGCTCGTCTCATTTATCTACGTCATCATTTAAAAATATTAAATATAAAAACATTTAAAAAATAATAGTTGGTAAGGTACAATTAACAATTTTATTTTTTAGCTGCTAGTTTTCTTGTCTCTAGATGATCATTGGTTTTTAGTTCACTGTACTAAATGCAAATTTCCATTGCCAACAGAACCGGAGCACAATGCCTCTCCAAATACGAAGGAACCGTTGCTTGGCGTTCCTACGGGGGAACCTTCTGACCCTCCTGACCATCATTGGCGTTGTCTCCGGCACTCTCCTTGGCTGGAGTCTGCGTGCGACTGGTCACGAATGGTCTCGTCGCGAAGTCATGTACTTCCAGTACCCTGGAGAACTCTTTCTAAGGATGCTCAAGTGTCTCATCGTGCCACTACTGGTATCATCTATTGTTTCCGCCATCGCTTCGCTGGACCTCAGTCTTTCTGGCAAGTGAGTCTTTAGACATTAAAAGTTGTGGTTCTGACGCGGATTATAATTTTTTTATTATAATGATTTTAGTTGAGAGTCTAATGTAGATTTAGGGAATTATCTCTAATTATTTTAAGATATAATTCGAGATCATTTCTAAACCGAAATAGTTCGTCACCTTGAGACATAAGTTGACAAGCCCCATGAACTTGGTTCATTCTGAGTGCAACTGTAATAAGACAATAAAGAATTTAAAGCTCTGAGTGGCACTGTAACTGTTATGGACAGGCGTGTAGCTAACTATCAGGCGCACTTGTTCATCCCATCACTTGATATTATAAAAAAAGAAAGAAACGTTTTATTGTTTAATAATCACGTTTTTATTAATAATCAAGTGACAATATGGGCCTGTATAAGATTCGTCGGCCTTGCATTTTAGATATTCTGCAGTTGTTTTCAAGCCATCTAGAAAGCTGTCGATGTGTTTGTAATTGCGTAATTGACTTGTATTGTATTATTGTATAACACTCGTCGCCCATTCTTCTTACCGTATCGATGGCAATATTATAATGCTTACCATCGTGGTGAAAGAATTTGCCAATCGGCTTGAGATACTCACTTATAGTTGCCAGACGTACAGGAATTGTAAAATGGGCTCTTGTCGCGGTATGATAAAATAAAAAAACCGCCTTTTGTGAACATACGGTTCACGTACGAAACACTTTATGTATTTATCAAATTGCTAAGTAAACGTATATGGCGAACAATAAAAACAAACACTATCAATCTTCACATTAGAATGTAGTTAAGAGTAGTTACAAACGCGCGTTCGTGAAACGCGCGTTTGCATCGCTACACTTGCGATTTACAGCCGATTGCGCCGATGCAAACGCGCGACTGCATCGATATAAACGCGCAATTGCATCGATGCAAACGCGCGACTGCATCGATACAGTCGATATGTTGAATAATTATGAACGAAAAATCTGTATAGGTTAATGCACAATATTTTGTTTTGTTAGTAGTAAAAGTGTGTAACCGCTCTTAGTGTAAGTAATTAAATTAAAGTAAAATGTATTGACAATATCTGCACATTATGTCGTACCCTTAGTTTTTTATGATACCAAGTGAACGAACAAGTCGTGCGCCTGGTGGTAAGTGACACGCCTGTCCATAGCAGTTGCAACGCCACTCAGAACATTGAATCGCAAAGATCCGAGGGGCACAGCCACCGCGCCCGTGTGAGACATAACTTGACAAGTCCCATGTGCCTGTAATTTCACCAGCACGCTTACCCTTCAAAACCGGAACACAGGTGGCAGAAATACGTAAGATAGCAATACTTCCCTATACGAAGTCTTTAATTAGGAGGTCAACTGGTACTGAAAATATTACATGTTTCTCATTTCTGAAGATATAAATCCTCCTAGTTTGTAGCAGGTATCGAATGGATTTTTTCAAATATGGGAGATAGATAAACTCTTCATTCACTAACGTGACACTAATACAGATTAAATACAAAAGGCAAAATAAACATTTTTTAATTTTGCCTTTAATTTTTTATTACTTACTATTGTTTAATTAAAATACAGAAACTCTTAAAGATATTGTGCACTTACTCCATTTCTTTAACGTACGCGTTAGGAAAGGGGAAACGTAATGGTTCACTGAGAACAGATGGGTTCTTGAATTTGAACGTGGAACTAATTTGAAAAATTCCAGCGCACATTCTGTAAATATTGTATTTATTCAGGCCGGACAATAATACACAATCACATAATAATATATTAGTATGTTCATGTATTTTTTTTGGGGTCAACTAACATTTACACACGTTTGTGTAAATATATACAAATAGTGACTTAATGAGTAACCAACACCGTCAACCACAGTCCACGTAAACAGTTTTCAGTAGATATTGATCTCCTAATTCAGTAATGGGACTACTTACAAATAATGCCATTACCAAATCAGGAGTAGATAGATACAATAATGTAATTGTGAAGGTATATACTGAATGCTCCACCAAATGATGACCTCGATGGTCGAGTGGCTTGCACACAGGTTTTAATGGTGTCGCCATCTCTGAGGTCCCGGGTTCCATCCCCGGCCGGAACAATGTAGAAAACCTAACTTTTCTACATTGTCTCCGATCTGAGTGTTTGTAGTTATGTCGTTGTTTCCGATTTCCATAACACAAGTGCTTTAGTTACTTACTTTGGGATCAGAGCGAAGTGACCAATGTTGCCAGGGCCCTTGAGTCGAAAATTATATTTCGTTACCCGAAGAGTCACATTTTTGCTGCAAAAGTTACACTTTACAAGTTCGCTGTTTTAATTAAAAATTCTAACTGTAATATATACACAATAATTAAAAAAAATATATAATAACGAAATCTTAGGTATAAAAATAAGTACACACTTAAGCAAAATCAATCTACAACCGCTAATAAACGACTGATCTAATTTTGTTTGCAATATCTCTGGGTTACGTTTTTGTCTGATTTGAATGCGTTCGTAGTCAAAGTCAAAGTCAAAGTCAAAGTCAAAGTCAAAGTCAAAGATTATTTATTCCATAGGTAAAATAAATTTACACTTGAAAACGTCACATTTAAGCTACTGCTCGTTCACTACGCTGACCTCCCTGAGAAGAACGAGCAAGAAACTCTAGGGATTGTTCTTTTCAAATAAACTTAAATGCTACGGAATACACTTTGAATCAAATTTGTGTGGATTCTAGAGCCATGTCGTCTTTCCATACATCTTTATCTAACACGTAGTCTTCAATTTTGTAATATGATTTTTCGATCAAAATATTTTTAGTGTAGTTTTTAAACTTAGGAAATGATAAACTTAATATATGCCCCGGAATCTTATTGTAAAAACGTATACAGTTCCCCATAAAAGAGTTGTTTACCTTGGTTAAACGAAATCGTGGTACCATGAGTTTGGACTTAGCTCTAAGGTTAATATTATGGATATCTTCTTTTTATTGAAATTATGTATATTTTTACGGGCATATAAAATATTTGAGTAAATGTACTGTGATGCCACAGTCATGATACCAGTCTCCTTAAACTTTTCTCTGAGAGAAACCCGAGAGCCTAGACGGTACGCAGAACGAATCGCTCGTTTTTGCAATACAAATATGGTTTGAATATCTGCCGCTTTACTCCACATGAGAATCCCGTAGGACATTATACTATGGAAGTAACTAAAGTAAACTAGTCTAGCAGTACTAACATCGGTAAGCTCACGTATTCTGCGGACTGCGTATGCAGCGGAGCTTAATATGCTGGCCAGGGAAGATATATGTGGAAACCATTGAAGTTTACTATCTAAGGCCACTCTCAAGAAGACTGCTTTATTAACAAGGTCTAACTTTTCTCCGTTTATTTCTATGCTTGGATTAGTCGATTTTACGTTAGGTAATTCAAATTTAACACATTTTGTCTTCTTGGCATTAAGCAATAAATTGTTAGCATTAAACCAATAAACTACCTTAGAGAGGGTATCATTAATATGGTCATAGTTAATGTCATGT